GTTGATTTTTAGCCGATTCCAGTTCTGACTACTCTCACTTCAATCGCCTTTTCTTGACTTTCCTTTGATTTTCATTAGCTGCGCCTTGGTGATGTCTATCTCTTTTGTTGATCAGTTATCCTAAATCCAAGCATCTTCTTTGTGATGTCCCAGTTATTCTTCTTATACGACAACATACATGAGTGGTTATTTCATAGGCAGATCAAATATTTGCTCATGGATGAGGCTGTTGAACGTAAAATAGGTAGTTCTTTATTTTTAGATTGAGTAATCGGGTTATGGACTCTTTACGGATTTGCTCCTTCTCCAGGATATCATCTTATTTTTCCAACATCTCCAGTAGTGGAGTGAGTGTTTTCTCTCTTCTTCATCTCTTGTCTGGACCATGAAATCCGTCTTTTTAGAGTCCTCTTCGTTTTTGTCGGGTGGTTGGACCTTAAGTTACCTATAGATCCCGTATTTATTCAGCTTCTTCTGGTGTCTTTTTTTATTAAGTCCGAAATCCTTTTCGATAATTTTTTCTGTCATATCTTATTTCAATAAATCATCCGGCGTAAGATTCCAAATCAAATCAAACCTTAATCTAGATTGAATAGCTAAAAACCAAAGTAATCTTCCTCTCTTCCTATCATACCTCCGTTACGTTTGCAAAAAAGCTTGGTTTAATATATCATGGACCTTTTCGGAGTGATACTTTCTCATTAAATTGCAAAAAACTAGGAAGGAACCCAAAACGTTTACAACATTTATGAAAGGTCAAATTACAAGAGTAACTTACGAATGTTTTATTTGATCTGCTGTATTAAGTGCATTGACTGGCAATCTTACCATCATAATTAGATTTTAGATATTAAGACCAAGATGGTGTAGCCTACTGTTGGGTTCGAACAACAATATAAAGCTAGAGGACCGCGACCAAACAGAAAGCCACACTATCTTAATCTTCATAAGTTACACTTTTTTTCTTTTAAATGAGCTATTTTTAATCTTTCTGTGTTTGCTAAGGTTGCGGGATGAGTTGGAGGCTTCTCACGCAGAACAGAAACACACAGAATTGGAGCATTTGGAAGAGATGGACCAGCTGAAACGGAGCCATTCTAAAAAGCTAGAGGAGATTAAGCAACAGAAGAACGATACCATTGATCAGCTGAAGAAGACTTATGAGTAGGTAATATCAAATTTATTTTGCTTCGTAGTGCATGGGTTTTGAGACTACTAGTTGATCTGGAATAACAACTTTAGTCATCTTAGGTCGCATAAGAGAAAGCATGACTTATATTAAAAGTATTTCCTAATTTAAATAAGTTGATCTCACGATTCCATTGCATTTCGCATCAATTTACCCCCCAAAGGCTTGCCTTGAAACTCAAATCTGCATCGTGATCTCTATTCATCTCGACGAAGAAAAACTCAACTGACAGTATTATGTCATTTTATGCGGCTTAAGATGATTAGAGTTCACAGAATAAGAATTAAGGTAATCTGACTCAAGAATTACTTATATTCTTGAAGCAAACTTTCATCGAGAACAAGTCAAAACATCAGTATTAATAGCAACTTCAGGTTTGATAAGCCTGCTTCCATTTCGAGTGAAAATGTTTGATGAGGAACTTTGAAGGTCGATCCCACCGGAAGATGCCGGCGGATTTCTCTTGACCAACCGTCTATGGAAACATTCTTGTTGACATTGTTTCTGAAGCAACAATTTTCTTCATTCGTTACCTTTAATATGGTTGTAAGGGTGATACTATATTCTAATGATGTCCATCATACGACGAAAGAAAGCTTAGCATGCTTTCACCAGAATCGAATGGGATTGCCCCGGAAACAAGGTCAACAACAATGTTCTAGTAAAGCCAAGCGACGGCTGGTAAATGGAAATCCATCCTTGTCTTCTGGTGAGATCGAACTTCAAATCTCATCACCAAACTCTTTTATTCGAGATGGAAGTAGGCTCAACAATTGTAAAACAAGGGGCTCCTCGAAGCCCATATTTTCTTAGCAAGTTCAAGTTAACCTTAGTGAAATCTGTAATATAAGAGGAGAAATGGAAGAGGCCCGGCTTGCGTTGAAAGTCACATCTGTCATATGACTCACTGGTTGGAAATGACTCACGGATTGGGAATGTATCGCCAATTTCGAACATGGCCCGTTTTCGATGAGGGTGCTGATAGACCCACGATGGGTTGAACCAGTAGTCAAGTCCAAAGAAGAAATTTTTAGGGAAGCAAAGGTAAGCAAAATTGAAAAGAATAATTAGTTCTATTCACTTCAATTTAGCACATATCACCTTCCACCTTAATCAAATTAGTCATAATTATATGAGTATTAATAGTCTCGAAACATACTTTCATTGGACATAGAGTCCATAATTTGATGGGAACCTTAAGTGCTTTTGCCGTTTGCGTAAAATCCGCCTTACTTAAAGCCAATACTCCTTCACCCTCATCATCCACAAGATACTCCTCATCCAGTTGGAATATTGAAGAGGAGAGCTTTTCTTGCAAGCACTTCTAAGAGTTCCCCGAAATGAAAGTACATATAATGCATTGCTTTATTTGCAAACAAAGGCTGTATTTCCCTATTTCATTTAAGCTAATGAAGGACTCTCAGTTGAATTTCACATAGCCTTGCCTTACAAAAAATATTTTTATCTGGAATGGACCTTAATTTCGACTTTGTATAGGTCGGTCAACAACTCCGGAGGGACTCGAACCCATGGTCTGCTAATCAAGAAACATTATGGAAAAATTCAACTACTATTCCTTTATCATCGAAAGCGAAATATGGTGAATGTATCTTATATTTAGTTGATAAACGACCTAATAACAGACTCCGTTGTAAGCTCCTCTTGCATTTCTCTACTCCTATGGCCCCGAAAAGTGATGAGCTGGCGGTTATAACCAATACACATCGCGACTCACTGGAACGGCTTCGAGCAACCTTACAGCAAGAGGCACGGCTGACTGGCGAGACACAGCCCTGCGTCCAATTGTTGCAACAAATGGCCGACAACCTCCGAACAGCTGTGCATGGACTCACCCGCACGGAATCCACAATTCGGGATGCCTTTGAGGAAGAACATGTCAGATTGTCGAGGCGCGAGGATGTGCTCAGACAAGCTGATGAGAAGATGCAGCATCAGGTAAGTGTATCACCTTAGCTTTGATTACAACATGTAGCATATATTGCTTGCAATTGGGAATTTCGATATAGCCAAGTTTTTATATGCTGGCACATTTATTGTAAATAAACTATTTTTCTATCTATATTCATCGTCATGTCATTTATCTCTATCATGATCACATAACTAAGCCAAATAAATCCTGTGCAAGACTAAAACTTGATTCTTTGGAAATATCATCAATACATTTCATATTGGCTGTTTTTTATTTTAATTCCAGCAAGAAGAGTTAGAAAAATTTAAACGTCAAGTCTGCACCACTTTGGTGAAACTCGAAGTCCATCTGAAGGAGCAGAGTAAATTGGCCGCTGAAGTAAGAACATCGTTACTGTTTTTCTAGCTAGTGGCAAAGTAGATGATCTTGCTACCAAGCCAAGCACTATATTTTGGACAGAGGTCTTAAGAGACCTTCTGTATTGTATTTTCTGTCTCTCTGTGCAAATCGTGTCTTAACTATTGCTTACAATTCAACCTTGTGAATTTACATTTGAACACGGAAATTTTTGATACAAACTGGCATTCATTCATCTAATCATACTTAATTGAATTTATATCAATATGTGATAATGTGAAGACTTTCGAAAGAGGACAGACTTTAATGAATGATGCATGCCAATTGTCTTTGCCCTGCTTTAAATGTACTTGATTTGACAGAAGTTGAAATATTCTTGGATAGCTTGTAGACAAACCCATTTCGTTGAGTGTCGAATGACGTAGTCCTATCTTTAGTACATTCGATGTTATTATCATACGGCGTTTAAGAAACATTACGAAATGGTACGCGAGAGTCATGACAAACACTGAAGCACTACATTATAGCGAATATTTAAGTTAAACATTTTTCGAAGATATGAAGACCAAGATGGTGTGGCAACGCGGCGTAATTGTTAAGCTGCTGAGATTACACCCTGAATTGTATTGGTTCGACTCCCGCTGAGGCCGTTGATAAGATCTAGGCGGGGTTGAAACTACAGTCTATTACACCCAAGATGAGAATACCTTTTAGGAAAGCAAGCCAATGTGAAATTCAATGATAGCTTCAGTTCCACTCATATCATTGTGGGAAAATTCAATTGTCAGTCCTTAATCACCTTAAAGAAATAAGGTAAATGCATCTTATATACCAAATTTACTCTTTTTTATGCACAAAGGTGTTAAAAAACGGTTTTTTTAAAATTGTACAGTGTGTACAATAGTCACATTTTTATAACCGTATCTGATTGCCCATACAGGATCGTGCCCTCGTCAAGCAGGAACAACTCCGCCTGTCTCGTGAACAGGTGACTCTGGAGGAGGAGAGACGCAGCCTAGTTGATCAGGCCGGCAGGGAACGTGCAGAACTTCAGCAGACTGTGGTAAGACTAATTTGTACTCCATTTTTTTCATAGTCCTCTCAGATACTTTAACAAAAACTAACCGTGACTTATATCCAATTTCAAACAAAACAATCAACCTTCATTAGTACATTCATACTTGCATCCAGATTTCTTTGAAATAGAGTAGAACTAAATTTATCTCCTGCTCTGGTGCTTAAGCTGATTTCAAAAAAACAGTTCTTCATAGCCTAAGGCGAAATAGGGTGATCATAACTCATGAATTTTATTAATTGATAGTCTCGAAAACTTTGTCAAAACGAAATATAAGTAAATTTTGGTTAACAATTGTAGTCACCTTTAGTCAAGTAAGGTTATAAAGAAGTGTTAGCTCGGTTTTCCCACAGTAATACAAGTTGGCCTCACAATGCAATTGAATTTTACATGCCCTTTTCTCTCACAATATTTGCTCGTCCAGAATAAATTGCAATTTTTCTGCACTCTCTAAGGTATCGTGATCATCCTGGCGGCACCTATTGAATCCAGTCTGGATGAGAACACCTCATATAGGATAAGGCTAAGTGAATCTTAAAGCCTATTCTTATCATTATGTGATTATCAGTTCATAAGCCATCCTAATCGACCTAGAGTGACTAAGTGCCTATGCCGTAAGCACTTATAATTTCGAAGCCTAGTCACGTCGAAAAGTGGTAATATTTGCATTGATGACTCCAAAGCACCATTCCAGACAGAACCCTTAGTCTGGTAGACACTCATTAAAAAAAATTCAGTTTGTAGTATTCAAGTTTACCGGGCGACGGAGCAATCGCATCAATTATCGGTAGACCCTTGCTCTGTATATACGTGCTGGCGTTTGTAACATCACCTTGTTTTATGCGAGCTATAAAGTATATTCAAAATGATAAAACCATCCTTCATCGCCTAAGGCGAAATAGGGTGATCATAACTCATGAATTTTATTTATTTATAGCCTACAGAACGACTATTCAGCTTTAAAATGTTTTCGGTCATTTCAGAATCACGAAATTTTAATAAACTTGGGACAAGCATAACTGCGAATGAGTAATTCCTAATGTTCCTATGGTTTCTTTGATGAACTCAACAGGAATATTGAATAAATGTGAATACGTTTAGAAACATTAGTAAGCCTTCTTATTGTCGTTTACTCAACACTTCTTTCATTAAGTTTATCAATTAAGCATAATTACTTAGTACCTAATTTCTTTCCTTCATTCCTAAACTCCATCCTATCCCCTGATTTATTTTAACAGACAAACTTCTTGTCTGAGCACCGAAAAATTCAGTCCCGACTAACTGATGAAAGAGCAACGTTGG